GTGGCTTGGATCCTCTGGCAGGGCTGAGTTTGATTGGAGACTATAATGCAGCCCTGGTGCTGTTAGTTGTCTTGGAAACTGAGCAGTGGAGGCCTGTCAGGAGATGGAGTGAAGCCAGCCAGCAGGTATTCGAGGACCACCTGCCCCGTGCCATCGGCTCTGGGGCTGTAACAGCTCTGTCCCAGCTCTGTCCCTCTTCAGTCACATGATGTCTAGAACTGGGTGTTGTTAAAGCAGAGCATGTACATTGTCCCAAGAGCAGTTAGCCTTTTATTTACACACATGCCTGACTGACCTTGAGACTGAAGGGTTTGGTTTGGTTTCTTTGTTTTTGTCTTGAGATAGGGTCTCCTGTACTATACCAGCTTGTCTCAAACTCATCCAGTAGCTGAGGCTGGCTTTGAACTTCTGCCTCTACCTCCCAAGTGCTAGGATTGCAGGTGTACACTGCCAGGTCTAGCTGAGGTTAAGGTTATATAAGAAATCTACATAAGAGATCAAATCACTCCTAACAACAAATAAAAACACCCTGAAAACAGCATTAGACATACATTCTCCCTCGAAATTTCTGTGGAGGGAGAATTCAAGAGTGGATCTGCTGGCGTGAGATTTGGTAGGACACAGTTAGATGGTCTGTGGGTTTGGAACCCTTCAAGGCCCCTTCATTCCCAGGCTAGGAAATGACAACTGGAGATGCTGAGGTGAATTTGTCTGTCCTGCCTGATGCTTCCAAAGTGGCTGAACTTTTTTTTTTTGGAGTGGGGGTTCAAGATAGCTTTTGTCTGTGTAGCCCTGGCTGTCTTCGGGTTCACTCTTAGACCAGGCTGTCCTGGTGACCAATGCTGGAATTAAAGGCAAGAACCATCATCACTCAGCAAACAGTGGCTAAACTTTGATTACTGTTGGCATTAGTTACTTTTCTGTCACTGTGATAAAATACCACGACCAAGCACAACTTAGGGAAGAGAAGAGAGGTCATAGGTTGTCAGAGGAAGCATGGCAGCAGGCAGCTAGCACAGGAAGCTGAGAATCGCATCACATCTTAACTTAGACCAGGAAGCAAAGAGAACTGTAGATGAAGCAGGGCTCTGTCCCCTAAAGGTTCCTTAACCTTCCCAGCAGCACCAACCAGGGAACAAATGTGCAAAATACGTAGACTATGGAAGATATTTCTCATTCAAACACCATATCATTATCGTTACCTTTATTTATTTAGGGCCAGGTATGGTGGCGTACGCCTTTAGTCCCAGCACTCAGAGCAGAGACAGGTGGATCCCTGAGTTTGAGGCCAGCCTGGTCTTACAGAGCAAGTTCCAGGACAGCAGAACTACACAGAGAAACCCTGATTCAACAAATAAATAAATAAAGATGTACCAATTTAGCGCATTTTCTATAGCTCAGCTATAGCTGGCAGCAGGGATTCAGGGAGCTAAGAGCCTCCACAGTAGTTTGCCAAGGGGAAAGAAGTTTGGAAGCCCAGGATTAACATGACAAGCTGTAGGTGGAGTCTCCATGCATATAAAACTAACCCTGTGCCAGGTCTGACTGGGGCATAGTGAGGGCAAACTCTATAGGTGGAACAGGACAGCCTGGAGCCCTGAGAATAACCATGGGCTTTAATAGCTCTGTGGTGGTTATATGTCTATGCAGTGGTTTAGTCCCTACCTAATCGCAGTCACAGTAGCAGTAGAGTGTCTACACATGAATTCCGTAACCGAGGGGCAACTCTTGAGGTAAAGGGTATGGTGGCTGTGCTGAGGCTCTGGAGGTCCATGCAGGAAGTTAGCCCAGAAAAGTGTGAGTCTATGGTGGCTAACCCTCCAGGGAGCGTGCTGTTCACAACAGGAAGTCTGCAGCAGGAGGGCAGCAGAGAGTTCTAGGATGAGTGAATGAACACACAAAGCACTTAGCAAGTGCAGCAGAGAGTTCCTAGGATGAATGAAAACACAGAGCACTTAGCAAGTGCTCCTGCCATGTTCTGTTGTTTAATGGGCCCAGGGACACCCATCTGGGTGACTAAATTGTGGCTGCCTGTGTTGCTGCCACTGCCACCATGCTTTACACTGAGACCTGAAGGAACCATACAGACTCAGGGAACTTGGAGCCAGGTCTTTGGGCTCAGGACTAGTCTGGTTTGAGCATGTGGCCTAGGACCCTTCCGTGTTGTATCCACACTGATTGTCATGTCCTTAGCCCATAGCCTCACATCAGGGCATGAGACTGGACGGTGCTTTTCTGAAAAAGTCTCTTTTCAAGTTGGACTCAGGGAAACATATCAAATTTGGAGAGAGGGGTCTGTTCCCAGGACCCAGGCTCATAACCGTCTGTAACTTCAGTTTCAGGGTATCCGATACCGTCTTCTGGCACATGCAGGCAAAACACCCATACACAGAAAATAAAGTAACCTACAAAACCCAAAATGTGTTATGAGATAGTTAGAAACATTTGTGGGTGGGTTTAACTGTTCTGAAAAAGTAATTTGCATAATTTTTAAAAGATTTTATTTATTTATTTATTTATTTGTTATGTATACAGTCTTCTGTGTGCATGCCAGCAGAGGGCACCAGATCTCATTCAAGGTGGTTGTAAGCCACCATGCGGTTGCTGGGAATTGAACTCAGGACCTCTGGAAGAACAGTCAGTGCTCTTAACCCCTGAGCCATCTCTCCAGCCCCTGCATATTTTCTTTTATATGGAACTTATAGAAGACATTTTTTGTATTTCAACAAATAAGAGGGACCATTACTTGCTTCTTTACAGTTCTTTGGCGTTTCTGGAACTTTGCCATCTCGCAATAGAGTGTGAATGTAAAAAATAAAATAAAGATTTGACAATAACGAATAAAAAATAGTATTTGTTTATTTGGAGTTTTTGGCATAGGGTTTCACTGTGGCTGGCCTGGAGCTCACGATGTAGACCAGGCTGGCCTCAGACTCATAGAAACCTGACTGTTTCTGCCTCCTAATGTGCTGGGGTTAAAGTTGTGTGTCACCACGCCCATCCCCAAAGGGTAGTGCTTTTTATTGCTATTCAGTTTGCTATGCCGAAACTGTAAGTTAATTAAACTTTAAACTGGATTGAAATAACACTAGCCATTATGGAGTGCCTTTAAACTGGAAACCAAGACCAGGAGCAGTGGTCTCCACCTGGGCACATTGTAGTGCTGTTTTGCCAAAATGGTGTCTCACCAGGAAGGATACCTTCCATTAGTGTGTAAGTGCTTCACAGCAATAGCAAAGGACACACCTTACAGCAGAGTGACAGTGGCTCTCAGAGGCTGTGTCTTAGATTTGGCGTGGGTGATGTTAGTTGATTACCAGGACTATATGCTGCACTGGCACAGGTTGCCACCCAGTGGGCTGTCAGTCAGACAGCTGCAATATAGGTAGCAGGCATGATGCAGCACCCTGTTTAGAAAGGTGTCAGCACTCACTCCTTACCCAGGACCCCTCAGCCTTTCCACTTCTCAAAGAGCATTGGGGAGGTTTTCTTACTGCCTGGCTGATGGGCTCACACTTCTGTGTCTGTCTCTGGGGGTGGGTTGGGAGGGCGACTGTACATTGCTTACTTGTAGATCTGCCTGCTTGTCAGTCCCCTGAGAACCAGGGCGCTATTAACATGAAGTTCTGTGCAGCAAGCAGGGTAGAGCAGAAAGCTGTTTTCACAGTGGGACTCATTTTAATGCCTACAGTGTTTCCTAAACTGTTATGTAAGAAAACCAAGTAGAGAAGTCATGGCGAGTTTCTGACTGTGATCCACTAGTTAAAATTCACCAGAGGGAGTTAATTTTGAAAGCTCTCAGCCAGTGGCTAATGCAGAGGTCTCTCAGACTGGGATGCAGCCTAGCCTCTCTCTTTGGAGGGAACCGTGTGTGCATGTGATCTAGAGGCTTAGGCACACCTGGCCCCCGCAGGACTCACTCTGTCCCATTACTCTTGGGGCTGCTGTCCAGCTGGATGCTCACAGTTCTTCATCGTTGTTATGTTTTAGTTGCAGGGGGTTAAGAATTTTATGTAAAAGACCAACTTGGAAGTGGCTGAGACAAGAATAAACAGTGAGGATGCCCTTTACTTGCCTATTTATAGATAATTTTTGAATACTGAAAGGGGCAGCAACCATCATTGACCTACACATTGCTTTGAATGTTTGCACCCCATCCCATCTCAAGGTTTCCTGTTTATGTATGTCACCTTTGCCCCTCCCTCCCTCCCTCCCTCCTGAAATCAAGGACTTGCTGTTGGGTGTCACCTAATTCCCTCCCATCTGAAATGGAAGCCCTGCCTCCTAAAGTCCTGCCCATGGAGCCTGAGGCAGTGCCGCCCTCTCCATGCCAGCACACACACACAGAACTGCAGATGTGCTTGTTGACCAGTGGGACTAACGGTGAGGCTTCTTGTCCAGGCCCAGCTAGCTGTCTCTCAAGGTGGACAGGACAGGAGAGCACAATGGCTGGCTTGTAGGCCGTTTATGTTCTCTCAGCTTGCAGACAGGTTTGCCCAAGCACACAAGGAACCTCTGAACACATTAACCTGTAGGTGAGATTAATGTTACTGCATTTCAGTCTTGTTCTTTTTATTTCTGTAAGTATCTCCATCTCAGGAATGGCTGTGACTGAACAGCCATGTCAGAGTTCTCTGTGAAACACAGCAGTAGGCTGTCTTAGGGCCTCTTGAATACTCTCTCCTTTCAACCCCTTTCCACCTGAGAAGTTTCTAGATAGCTCTGGGTAGATGGGTATATAAAAATAGATGTTCAAGGGGCTGGAGAGATGGCTCAGCGGTTAAGAGCACTGACTGCTCTTCCAGAGGTCCTGAGTTCAATTCCCAGCAACCACATGGTGGCTCACAACCATCCGTTACGAGATCTGGTGCCCTCTTCTGGTGTGCAGATATACATGGAAGCAGAATGTTATATACATAATAAATAAAATCTTAAAAAAAAATAAAAAGAATAGATGTTCAAATCAAACATACACTGATAATAAATCACAAAGAAATGTATTTGAAGGTGAGTTGGTATGCCTCTCATTTTACCATTTATTAGCAGTGAGAACATTTGCATATTAGTGATATGGATGTGCTTGCTTGACATAAAAGAAATCTTGCTTGGATGTTGAGCATCTTTGGGGTTCTTCAGAATTATTCAATATTTAGGTTTTATGACATCAGTGTTGAGAACACAGCTTCACATGAAAACGTAGACAAATGGCAGAAGTATGACTAAGACCTTTTCAGAAACAGCTGGAAACTCTCTTCTAATCCCAAGCCAGGACTCAAAAGCCATCCTTATTAAAAATGTTTTTCTCCTACACTGTTAATATGTGTGTGTCAGTACATCTGTGTTGGGGCTCATGTGGAGACCAGAGGACAGCATGCAGGAGTTCTGTCCTCCGCCAGAGTCCTAGAGATGGAACTCAGGTCGTCAGGCTTACCCACAAGCCTCTTGGCATGCTAAGCCACTTCACCAGCCCTCAAAATGTCCGATTTTAAAGATTTGGTTTTATTTGTGTGTGTGTGTGTGTGTGTGTGCGCACACACATATGCACATGTGTCTGTATGAGTGAAGGCCTCATATCTAAAGGTACCTGTGGAGGCCAGCAGACCATGCCGATCCCTAGAGCTGAGTTACAGGTGGTTGTGAGCTGCTGGTGTGGGTCCTGGGAAGAACAACAAAAGCTCTTAACTTCAAACAGCTCTTTTTTACGAAAGCATTCTCAACACAACGTAATCCAAAGATAGACTAATTTGATACTTAATGAGGAAAATATTAAAAGTCTTTGTTTTCCCTAATTAAGCCATTATTTCCATAAGAGCAGAAAACTTTGTAAGTACAGTAACAACAACACTGCCCTCCATCTTGAATCTGAGCCAAGGTGTTTGGTGTACATTCGTTAGCACTGTGTGGCGTGGTGGCATGCACCGAGTACGAATTTTGTGCTTAGCAGGCTGCAATGAATGGGTGGTGCTGACAGAAACTTGACTGTGTTATTTGAGTTTTTCATTAATTCCTAACTGTAGAATGTTCAGAAACCTTTTACTGATGGCCAGACTTTTCATATTGTGTTTTTAACTTCATGGCCTCAATTACTGTCCACACACACACACACACACACACACACACACACACCAACCACAATGGGGATCGGGCAGAGCTCCAACTTTAATGGTACTGGATACTTGTAACAAAATTTTTTTTTAGAATTATTTCACGTGAATAAGTGTTTTGCCTATATGTATGTAAGTCCACCATGTGTGTGCCTGGTGCCCTTGAAGTCAGAAGAGGGTGTCAGTTCCCCTGGAACTGGAGTTACAGAGAGCTGTGAGCCTCCATGTGGGTGCTGCAAACCAAACCATCTGTAAAAGCAACAAGTTCTCTTAACCACTGAACCAGCTCTCCAGCCCCTATTCACATTTTCTAAATCTAGGCATTATGTTTTCCCTGTTAGGAACTGAAAAACCTGCATCAAACTCATGAACTGAGTTGGATCATCCAGAATATTCTCTTTGCCATAGATGAGTTAAGTACAAGTTTCTGTTTGGGTTTCATCTGGCTGTGAGGATGCAGAAATAGGAAACAATGTAGTTTTGCTCCCACGCTGCACACTCAGGTTACTTGGAGGTGAAAAATACCAAGGAAACAAGTGCCAACTTCCCAAGAGCCTCAGCACCCACATAAAAGTGGGGTGCTGTCAAGCCCTGGAGCAGAAAGCAGGACTACTTAGCACCTGCATGTGACCCAGTGGGTTTCACAGTTTAAATGCCTGCATCTTTCTCTGTCGCCCTTGGCAACCTGGCATTCTAATGTCTGTGCCATCAGGGACAGAGAAATGATACATAAGAACTTGGAAGGAACAGAACATGGCCATGAACGTAGTGACTGAGCATCCTCTTTGAACAAGTCTGTGGTAATGATTAAATCACTACTGAAACCATGAAGGTCTTCACATGGAAAGGGATGCACAGAGGGAATGGTGCTCACGACTGTAGAGGGCAGTCTCCCATACTGACGGCCAGTTACCCTGTGTGTTCTGAGGGCGTGGCTCTGTTTCCATTTTAGAGGCCACTCTGCATTTCTGGTAAACCACAGGTGAAGTCCTCCTGAGAGGCAGATGTTTGGCTGGTTTTGAGGCCTGTGGCTTTCCATAGAGAAATAACAGCACTGGCCACATGAAGCTTTTACTTCCTCTTTTTTTTTTTTTTTTTTTTTTTTTTTTTGTGTGTGTGTGTGTGGGGGGGGGCAAGGGCACTTTGTACTTAGCATACATAGATCTCCATTCACCATCAGATGTCAAATTCATATCTCTGGAAGTGTGGTTAGTCTGAGATGTCTGTAAGACAATCTGATAACTGATCATAGATGGCAGCCTTAGGATACAGTGAACATCTTGCAAGAAACTCAGAGCCAGGCGGCAGGAGGCTGTCATGGAGCTTTGCTTAGAAGAAAGCCCAGAACTCTGGAAACACATTTAGAGGCTAAGAATTGGGCCAGGTGATGGCACGAAAACCAGGAGAATCGGTTGTCAGGAAGCGTGGAGGTCAGGTCTGCTCTCAGGGCTCAGGCTGGACCCTCCTTCCTGTGGTGGCGATGGTTGGTTTGCTGTGGGGTATTGGGTTTTTGGTGGTTGTTTTTTGTTCCCCCTCCCCTTCTGCTTTACTTTTTAATGCAGGGTCTGATTAGCCAGGGCAGCCTCAGACTATGTACAGAAGAATGGTTGGATTCCTTGTCCTGCCTCCATCTCCCACGTGCTGGGATTGTAGGCAAGCTCCACGGTGCCTGGCTATGGACCCTTCTCCATTTCTTAGTCTTTTCCAGCCCAGCCCCAACGCGTCTCAAAAACTTGGAGGATACCAGTTGCCCAGCACCCTAGGGAGGGGATTCCTGCCTTTGCAGGGTTTACAGACCTACCTCATCAATGAAGTCTCCTACAGATGAGAGAGTGGGCGGGGGGGCTGGCCACAGGACTCCACTCTGGAGGGAGTAGGAGGGATTTGAGTCTGTATTTGAAAAGAACCTTGGAAACTGGCATCCTTAGCAGTCTGCATGGAAAGTGGCGGGGTTGAAGTCAGGGCTCAGGAGCCTCAGCACTGTCCTGCAAATGTTAAAGTTGTTCTTGAAAAGATGTAGCTTTTTTTTTTTTTTTTTTTTTTTTTTTTTGGGGCAGAGTCTCACGAAACCTGTGCTGTTTTCGAATGTGCTGTATAGTTGAGAATAACCTTAAACTTCTGATCCTCTTCCTCCCATCTTCCTAGCACTAGGATTACAAATATGTACTTAGAATCTGTAGTTTTAACAAATTCTTTGGCAGATGCTTGTAATGGGCTGTCTGGTGAGGTTAGTTCCTGGAGGTAGGGCTCAAGGCAATGCCTGAACCTGCGCTGAGTAGGTAGGGAGGAAGGAAGGGCTGAGCAGCCCTTGTCAGGAGAACTGAAGAACTGGCAAGCTGGTGTTAAATGAGCTGGAAAGTGTAGTTTTAGGTAGCCACCAATATAGACTGAATTTCATAGGAAATGTCAGGAAACATAAGGATTTGTGAGGCTGGGGACCTTTGTCTGTTTCTTAACTCTCTGTGCCTCAGCTTCCTTGTCTGTAAAATGGGAGTAGTGGTAGACTTCCTTATGTTGGGGGATGAAGAGATAGATACTTAGTAACTACTATTGGTTTGAATGGTTTTTCTCACTCTCCTGTCACATTGCCCAGATTTTGCAAAGCCAGCCTCTTCCCTCTCTCCTGGTGAATGTGTTGTGTGTCGCTGGGCACTAACCCTACATCTTACCCCACAGTTTGCCATTCCACCCCTAAACTATCTCCCATAGCCCAGTTACTCTTCTCAGAGCCCCCTCCAGCCCTATAAATGCTGCCCCTCCCCTTGGTAACCTGTCCCATGCCCTCCTGCCTTGGTGTGAAGATGCTCTCCACTGCCAAAGGCCACGGTCATTCATGTGGGCTTCCTTGGTGCACAGGTGAGGTACCCCTGCTTCTTTATGCTTGGTCAGGTCCTACCTCAGAGTGTTCTGGAAGGACTCTCCATGCACTTACCTTATCTGCTGAAAGCGAGTCACAGTTTAGTACATGTCCTGGCAGGGTTTTCCAGAGTCCCTCCCAGTGCTAGGTGTTGAGTAAATTATTAAAGTGAGTTCATGACCTCATTTCCTACCAGTGCAGTGTGCCAGCCTCTGCTCTGCTCTGTTCTCTTCCTGGTCCATACTGGGGCTTCCCCAGGGAAAGCTCCTCCTTCAACCCCTGTGTGCCCTCAGCTCCTTAGAGCTCTATGCAGCCGGAATCCTCAGTCTCTTGTCCTTGCAGCTTCCAGAATGTTCCTATGTCCTTCTTGGTCAACTTGAAGTCCAGCTGGAGCCCACCTGGCAGGCTTCTGCTCTTCCTTGTCACTTCCCCTAAGTCGAGCCTCCCCCTCCTAGCTCCACCCACTACCCTTTGTTCCTCCGCTGCTTTCCTTATAGGCCCAAGAGTCATCCATATCTATTTGCTTCTTTGAACTGACTAGAACTCCTTGAGGGCAGAGCTCCTTCTTGTTCTAGTTCTGGCGGAGATGCTGTGCGCAGCTTCGGATGCCTGTTGATTGTATGACTGGTGCAGAAGTCAAGTACCAGGAAGTCACTCTTCGTACCAGAGGAGTGTTTGCTGTTTTCTTGTGTCTCACAGATTGTTCCCACTGAACTGTATCAATTACATTGGAAATTGACAGTGATGAGTCATATCCTAGCAAAGGGAGAAATCGGAACTCGCAGAGCCTGCAGGACTAGAGTAGGAGGTTGCAGATGGGTCTTACAGGCCAGGTTTGGCCCTTCCCAGCGTTTGGCCCGCGGGTCTCTAACACCCGGAGTGGGAGGCCCCTCTTCCCCGGTGGGCAGGTGATTTATTGGCTGGGGCGCTTCCGTGGTGATCACTTGTGAAGTGCAGGCTGATACCCGTGTCTGGCAGGAGCGAACACCTCCGCCGCGGGCCGGAGCGGCCACAGGGGGTGGGCACCGGTGCGGGTTTTGCTGCCTCGCTGTGGGTGTACGGCCTGGCCCGCGTGGGGAGCAAGTTTTGCTGCTGTGGTACCCCGCCCGCAGGGGGACCCCAGAAGGCC